GGGGCTGGAGCAACAGCACAGCAGGTAGGGTGTTTGCCTTGCTTCTCATCTGTCTCTTTTGCCACTCCACTCCACTGTTCCTTTCCTTCTTCTCCCTATACTGAAACCTGGCTGACCCAGGTTTGGTTTCCAGCATCCCATATGGTCCCCTGAGCACTGCCAGGAGTGATTCTTGAGTGAAAATCCAGGAGTAACCCCTGAGCATCTCCGGGTTGACCCAAAAAACAAAATAATAATAATAAAATAAAATTCAATTATGTACATCTTTGTAAATCACTGTGCCCTGATTAAAAAAATATTCTAGTTCATGGCCAAATAGACCAGATTTACCCTTCCATAAGAAATGACTTACTAAACCAGTAAAAATTGTATATGAAACAAAGATTTTATATATCATAATCAGGCATAGCTCCTTGACTGTAGGATAACATAGCCTCAGGTAGTCTAAGTTTATTGGGTTGCTCCCATGATAGTACTCCCATTCCTCTGTGTTTATTTGTAAACCTTGTGCTCTGTTGACTTGTAAATATTGTTTTTTTCTTCTCCCTAAGTCCTTTGCTAGTTTATTCAGAGCAATGTCCTTTTTGTATGTACACAAGAAGACAGTATATGCTATGCTTTTGTAATGTGACTCTCAGTGTTATTTTCCTCCTGGGCATCTGTTCTCTCAATTTACGACTCAGCTGCCTTTACTTCCTAGCACCCCCAAAGGCAGGGTCCCAACAAGGGACTGGATGGAACCAGGGCGACCGGTAAGCAATGTGCTATCCTGGCATAGAGATGGGCCTGGCCAAAGTGCCTAATGCTTAACTATAAGTTAAGAGCTTGGTCATGGACAAATGCTGTCATGATCCAAAAAGAAATAATTAGATTCGGACCCTGCTAGGGTTAGGAATGATTAATGTGTCCTGAGAGCAGTAGTCTGAGTCCGTGGCAAGGTGTTCCCAAGAGAGCTGCCCTACAAGCCTCAATGTATCTCTTACTGTGTCCATACAAAAATAACTAGTATTAAGATGTTGATAGTTATTGGACTGAGTAAAGGAGAAAAACACCTTAAGAGATATTTTGCCTTTGGGATGTCAGGAAAGACTTTGGAATATCTCTTGGGTGGTGTTTTCTTTGAACCTGGTGGACCCTCAGGTAGGACTTTCTTATGTTGATTTTGCTACCTTACTGGGGGAAGTGTCAGCCCAGTGTGCTGGGGAGTTGGAGAGACAAGACAGTTGGAGTGACAAGAGAGCTGGAGAGCAGAAGAGAGTTGGAGAGATGAGAGAGAAAGCAGGGCAGCAAGATGAACTGCGGAGAGACTAGCAAGGGGGACAGAGGGAGAAGAATGTAGAAGAATACAGGAGCAAGTATGTGGAGAGACAGAGACCAGGCTGCGAGAGGGAGCAAGGAGAGATGAATGAAAGAGACAGGAGGAGACCGGAATGAGGGGCAGGGTGAGACTAGAATGGGAGGCTCAGAGAGACTGGGGCAGGCACGTGGGGAGAATGAAATAAATGGCATCTGATCAATCAACCGGCTTGGCCCTCGTTTCCTCCACCATCTGCCCCATGTTCCGGGCTGCCCCAGCTGGGCGAGCAGCTCAGGTCCACCCTGAACGCATACAGCCAGGGGGAGAACCCTCAGAGCCTACCCCAGCTGTCCCGGATATTATACACTTAACCTCTTAGGGAATAAAAAATAAGGTGAGCCCTAAGGTGGTACCCGTTTACTTCCTCAAGTCTCCAGGTTGTTACATATTCAAAGTAAGCCCAATAAAGATGAAGTCCAAGCAGAGCAATTGGAGTCTTGTAATATCCAACTCCATGAGTTGAAGATATCAGGCAAAATAAGACAACTGCTGTACAGAATAACTCTTACCATTGTAGAATACTGTTAGAGAACACCAGAGGATGTATAGCATGCAAATATTTCTCTTTCATTAGGGTTTTAAGATTTTTTATTAATGATAAAAGTCATTTAGAAGAAAAATATATCATATAATATACAGTTTAGTTATTGCAAAAATAATGAACAAATTGGAGACATGATGCTAGAAATGAATAAAGATAAAACAAAAAACGGAAAAAAAAACTATTGAGGAGGACATAAGTAAGTTGTGACACTTCCTAACTTGGGAGAAGGATACTGAGAAAGCAAAAATATATTTGAAGGAAAAACATTGATGTAAACTGTAAACTCGTGTACTTGAAGATCTCAATGGGCTCCAAGTATAAGAAATAGGATAATCTTTAGTATAGCCTATCAGACTTTCCTCACCTAACCTTAAGGAGAGTCTCTTCCATTACTCTCATTTCTAAACTCAATCTATCATTCTTATTTGCTTTTTTCCCCAGGATTGTTCCTCATTGTTGGAAAACTGGTTATCCCTTTCTGTGACTCTGATTCTAACCCTGACATCAATCTCTAAAAAAACTGCTCCCCTCTTGGGCTAGTCACCTCCACTATTGTCCTCCACCCTACTCTGTCAAAAGTGCTCTCTTTGATCTCGCCTTACTTATTTGTGTATATTTCAACCCAGTTGTATTTTCCTTCAATCTGTCTGCTTCTCTTACCCAACTTTAAATTTACAGGCTCTAATAAATTCCTGGAACAGGATCCACCCAGGAAGTGTTTAAGAATATAATGAACAATGTAAACTGGATGAATTTGCCTTTGTTGTCAGAATATTTTTATCATCTAGTAATATTTGAAGCAATTGGTGCTTGATTATTTTTGAAGGAAGAAATTAATAATTAAAAGCATAATTTGGATGAATCTTTATTGTCAGTATATTTTTATCATCTGGTAATATTTGAAATAATTGGTTCTTGATTATTTTTGAAGAAAGAAATTTTTTTATAAGTCAGCAATAATAAAATACAAATGGTGTCTACAAGCTTCTGAGATACTGAGATATAGAGATATGGTAGCAAAATATTCATGGGTAATACCATAGCTTGAGGTGCACACATTTATTTGTACAATTATGTGCATATATTTATCTATTTGGTGGGGAAAATATCCATTCAACTAATTAAGTGAAAAAATTAATTTTCATATATTGAAAAGCACTTCGAAAACAATAAAGCATACTGATCTGATTGCATGAAGATACTATTATCAACTTCACTTCTATTTTAATCATTATCTTTATTATTATAAGTGAGGCAATATATCTTACGATAACATTAATATTTATGCTTTATACATACAATGTTATTGCACCACATTCACTATCAAAGTGCCAATAACAGCTCCATGCCCCACTGAGGTCACGTGTTGCCCCCCACGAGTGGCTCTCCGGCATGGCCATGGCTCCAGAGGCAAAAGGACTTAATCCAGAGTCCGGCAGCTTGCAGCAGAAAAGTGAATGGACTATGCGTTAAACCACTGCGCCATGCCTCCTCAGGAGGGATAGGGTGTCGCTCCCTTCCACCTTCCTCCCCCCTCCCCGGCAGCAAGGTGGCCGCCGCCTCAGAATTTATTGGAAGGCCAGGTATAAGCCAGCGGTGACGGGGCAACTGCAGTCTCATGGGAAGGGTGCGTTCCCGGCTTGTCCTTCATGCCCTACCTAGGTCATGAGTTGCCCCCCACGAGCGGCTCTCCAGCAGGGCCCTAACACAAAATGTACAGAAATCAATCTCGTAATTATCTGGCTCTTGGCAGAAATCCCTCCAGACTTACCTAGTAAAATATCAGAAATCCAAAATCATGCAGCCACAATAGTGGTCACGTGACATCATATGGTTCTCATAACCAGCTATAGAAAACAAATTATTTCACAATGACTTTTCAGCAGTTCTGATTGTTGGGGGAAAATTCTAAACAATAGTGGTGCATCTTTTGTCGAAATAATGAATGTAATCAAAGTAGAGAGAGAGTTAAGTAGAAATCATCTGCCTCACAAGCATTGGGAGGGGTGGGAGAGGGATATATTGGGGTTCTTGGTGGTAAAAAATAAGTTCTGGTGAAGGGAAAGGTGTTTGATCATTGTATGACCGAGACTTAATCTTGAAAACTTTGTAACTTTTCCCACAGTGATTCAATAAATAAATATAACAAAAATAGTTCCAATAACACCTCATCACAGTCCTTAGGTTCCTCTGCTTGTCCACCCTTCCCTTTTCACTTTAATCACTCAGGTGGGAGATAATTTAAATTACTGGGGAAAAATTTTCTGAGCAGTAATACGTGAACTTGTATTTTTTATTTGAAAAGAAAATATGGTTCAATTGTTTGGGCCAGACATTTTTCAAAGGATGGGAGCAATATAGATTAAGAACTTAAGGTGAAGATAAAATGTGAACACGAGAAAAACAAAGAAGGAAAAGGTGAACGACATTTATGCACAATGGCTAAATGTTACTTATGAAATACTGTTGAAATACTTCCTATAAAAAAGTTAAATAACACTCATCATGCATGTATTTCCTAAAAGCAAGTGTATAAGAATATAGCCCAATTTGTGTTCACCCTGAATAGCAAGTATTTTAAAATAAATAACTATTAAGGGATATGCTTAATTATCTAAAAAGTCCTCAACCTCAAAAACTCTCACATCAGCAACTATTTTTTCACCACATTTTTATTAATGTTGTGAATTTGTATCACATTTTATTTCCAGATGGAAGCTTCTGGTCCCAAAGCTCTATTAGCAGCAAATCCAAAATATGCAAATTAGAAGAAATTGCTTTGCTTTTAAATTATCACTGTGTGCTGATGAAGCAAATTCTGAGTGTGTTACATGTAGTTCATTTCAATGCGCCTAAGCATAGTTTTCAACTATTGTTTTTGCCTGCTTTAAAATGGGCTGAAATAAGATATAGTTTCTGGTGTCTTTACACACTGGGGAAATAGATTTCACAATCAGGGTGGAGAATCTGGTTGACTGCCAGATATGCAGGTATTTTAGATGCTTGCATATGGATCCATGTATAAATACAGCATGCAGAGTACTCATAGTGTGAACCCTACTAAGAGATCCTCTCTAGACCTCACAAGCCTCAATGACGATGAAGTCATCAGGCATTCTTCTGCTTTTGATCAGCATGTCTTATTTGTTCCTTTTTGTAGGTGAGTACTATATAGCACATATTTAGAATGGAATCCTGGACCAGATTGGCTAATGTCAGCAGTCATGATATAATGCTGTTGTTTATGTTTATAGTATCAATGATAAGGATTATAATGTTGATTGATGATAAAGACAATGGTAACTGTCCATCACATTATTAAGAAAGAATATTTACTTATAAACTAGCTACTTTAATTAAAGCTGTAATATTGCACAAGAGATAGTTCAACCAACTATAAAAGCAATGTTAGGTCTCAAAGGATGAGATGGCTTATCAGAGGTCACGTGCTCCCCAAGAAACTAATCTAAGAGTTTCAGGCCAATTATGTTTCTCTCAACAGATAACACGAAGAGTATAATAATATCAAAAACCTTCATTTTAAAAGGAAATACTTTATACTGAAATTAATAATTCTTACCTAAAGTTATTTTTAAGAAACTCCTATTTAAGAACTTCAGTTAGCAGAATGTTTTCTTAGAAGCATAAGTTTTAGTGAAAGCTGAGTCAGTCTTGTTTACTCCATTTATAAATAAATGAGAGTGAGGGAAAGAATGAGAAAGACAAAGAGAAATGAGAGGAGAGGAAGAGGGGGAGGGAGATAATCTAAATTCAAATTATGTCCTTGGGAAGAAAAAGATGAAAAGAGGGTAGCATAGAGGGGAGATACAATGGAATAGGGTAGGGATGGAGGAAGATTTTATTTAATTACTTATTTTAAATAATGTATGAGGAAGATTTTAGTATTTGGTTTCCAACTCACATTCGGTTGCTCTTTTTCTATAATATCAAGTAACTTACACCCTTTTTGTGTTTTTTTATTTCATCACATAAGTTAGTGTGAACATTATATGCTCGATGATTACTTTTAATAAAAATGTTATGCATAAAAGCATTGGCTGTAATTTATGAAAATTGTTCTTGATTCTTTCTGGCTTTTAAAGTAAATCCTCTACTCCAGAGTTCAATTTCCTCAACCTTAAAATGGAATTATTAATTCATATAATATATGTAATGGGCTGGAGCGATAGCACATCAGGTAGGGTGTTTGCCTTGAAAGTGGCCGACCTGGCTGACCTAAGTTTGATTCCTCTGCCTTCGAGTCTTCTGTCCCTCTTGGAGAGCCCGGCAAGCTACTGAGAGTATCTTGCCCGCATGGCAAAGCCTGGTAAGCTACCTGTGATGTATTCAATATGCCAAAAACAGTAACAACAAATCTCACAATGTTACTGGGCCCGCTTGAGCAAATGGATGAACAATGGGAGAACAGTGACAGTGACAGTGAATATATGTAAGATACATATTTAGCACTCAAAAGATAGAAATCTCCATGTAGATGTCACTTATTGTTAGTGTTAGTAAAAATGGTGGCAAGTAAAATAATTTTCCTCAGTAGTCAGATTACTGGCGCGATAGCACAGCGGGTAGGGCGTTCGCCTTACAAGCGGCCAACATGGCCTACCCGAGTTCAATTCCTCCGCCCCTCTCGGAGAGCCCGGCAAGCTACCGAGAGTATTCGATATGCCAAACACAGTAACAACAAAGTCTCCAATGGAGACGTTACTGGGCCCGCTTGAGCAAATCGACGATCAATGGGAGGGCCTTTAGTCAGATTACTATTTTGTGTTTTGTTACACTAGCATCTTGTTCTCCAGTAGTCTCGATTATGCATTAATTAAAATAAGCTCTAGATTTCAAAATAGTCAACTCCTTCCTAGTTAAATGCATGCTTCTTTGAATAATATAGATATAGGAATAGTGATTTTTCAGCATAACTCAGTTTAATGAAAAAATAACAAAGTGATTTCAATGAATAATAACAAAACCCATAAATAGCAAATATAGAAAAAGGAACTTTGTACTTGTGATTTTTTGGTCTGTCCTGTAGCTCATTTATGTAGTTAAAAGCTGCATGTCTTGGTAAAATTTTCTTTTTTTTCTTGAGGTTTCAGTTCTTCATGTATAAAGCAAAGGCATTGTAATAGTCTAAGGGTAATTTTAGATATAAATTCTGGAATGATTTGGAGGTGCTGTGTTTCATCAGTGTTTATTTTTTCATTGCAGAGGCTGTAAGCCAAGGAGGCTCCCAGGTAAGTGCTTCTTTCATGAGACCTTCGTGGTCACAAGAGGTTGCCTCACAACACTGGAGATGTTAATCTAGGAAGTGCTATGTCTATACCATCAAATTCTCCTGAGTTCTTTTTATTAGTTGGGTGAGGAGGTGAAAAAATATCATGGTACATGATCTAGAGAGTCTCTTCCATGATGTAGGTGTATGTTTCTTAGTAGGCAAAGGGAACTTTTCTTTAAATTAGTTAAGAACACAATTCCTAAGTCTATATAGTAAAGTCTCTAAAACAGTACGGTGCCTATAAAATATGGAATAAATATAACTTTGGATAATATTGAAGTGTAAAGTAAGACTTATAATAGATTTAACAGAATAATGATAAACATATTATCCCAGGTAAACTGGAGCATAGTTTATTCATGAAAGTTGCTGAGGATGCTGATAAAATGCATGTTACTGCTCCCTAGACTTAGATTTTAGGGGCTTGATTTTACCAAGATATCTAAAAGATGTTAAGATCCCCTTTTATTATTTAGAACAACATATATTTAGAACAACATGCTTCACCATGTTCTCAGCATCCATGGAACTCTCCAACCATCAAACTCACTTTTACTCTCATATGGTCCCCTGGAAAGATTTACTGCCTTCTCATTTGTATTTGTACTAGATTTTGTTAATATATTTGATGCAAAATTTATCATATTGTTACCATTCATAGATAGTCTTCTGTTTTAATATATAAGAAATGTTGGTTTGGATTGGTTTATTTTTTTCATCATGGTGCTTTAATATTAACACCAGTTTTTAAGTATAATGGATAAATATATAGATGAATAAAGGATGCATGTACAAATTGATGAGTAGATTTTCGAATGACTGATTCAGCAAACATTAAATGTCAGAAGACTATCAGATATAAGATATAACATTGTTCCCAATTTCTAAAATTAGCCAACTACCTAATTTTTTTTATGTGACCAAATCAGTTTTCTGGAACCCACTGAACAGGAACCTGAGCACAGAGCCAGAAGTGGCCCCTGAACAATGTTGAGTATGGTCCAATCCCTCCCAAGTCAAATCCAAACACAGAGATTTAATTTCTAGAAATATGCCTAAAGCAAAATATTTAGGATTTACCTAAATGAATTTATATAGATACCCCTGAAAATATTATGATAATTAGCAAAATCATGGAATAAAGACTAAGGATGCATGTAGCTCAACAATAGAATACTTTCCTTGCACGTGTAGGGCTCTGAGTTCAAACTCTGTCACTACAAAGTGAAAAACATGGGATAATTTTTCATTTTCTTAAAGGGAATTACTTAAAATTTGTACAACTACTTTAAATGGTAATTCATAATATATATTAATTCACATTGAGAGAATTAAATATATTTCAAGTTTAAAATCATTGTATAGTATACTATATATTATGTTTCCAATTTTAGAATCAACAATGAAGGTTATTGAATAACCATATGTAATTCATTAAACCTTTTGCATTTTGATGTGTCTTATAAGATGGGGGTTTATTGGCTCTCTGTTGATGGGTGTGGTTGGTAACTTTGTGTGCCCAAAGTTGTCCTTGAAAATCAATGTTACCTCACTAGAAATAGAAGAAAAAAATTAAACTTAGAAATTTTCCTAAAGCATAAAATTTTTTTTGCTTTTTGTTGGGGGGGTCACACCCGGCGATGCTCAGGAATCACTCCTGGTGGTGCTCAGGGGATCCTATGGGATGCTGGGAATTGAACCCAGGTTGGCTGCATGCAAGGCAAACGCCCTCCCCGTTGTGCTATCACTCCAGACCCTTAAAGCATAAATTTTAGAATTTTTTAAAAAAATTTTGAGTCATACCCTGTAATGCTCAGGAGTTACTACTGGCTTTGCACTTAGAAATTACCCTGGTGGTACTCTGAAGGACATAGAGGCTGCTGGATATCAAACCCAGTTGGCCGCATGATGGCAAACACCTTAGCCGCTGTACTATCTCTCTAGCCCCAGTTTTTAGAGATTTTTTTCAATGGACTGAGTAAAGGCATACTTGGAAAAGTGTAGAGATTCAAAATTTCAAGTGAAGTAATGCAATCTTTGTAAGAATCATTAAGCAATTAAGTAAATCAGTTGTAGCACTGGTATCTACAATCTACATTAATATTCTGTTCCCCTTTTTTGATGAGAGTACAATAGGTAGGGCATTTGTCTTGCATACGGTCAATGGTCCCCCAAGTACTGCCAGAAGTGATTCCTTAGTGCAGAGCCAGGAGTAACCCCTGAACATTGCTGAGTGAACCCAAAACAAAAAATAAAAAATTGTATTTGGTGAACACTGAAAAAGTTTAACAACTGACATTGAAATCTAAAGTCATAGCCAATGAGAAAGCAATTCCCATAAAAATATCTCTAAGAAAATGTAAAGATATATATGTGCATATCACATATATAAATATCAATGAATGTAAGAAGAATAAATATTCAATATTGAATATTTACATTTACATTGTCACTGTCCTCCCATTGTTCATCAATTTGCTCGAGCGGGCACCAGTAACATCTCACAACAAATTGTGAGACTTGTTGTTACTGTGTTTGGCATATCAAATACATCACGGGTAGCTTGCCAGGCTTTGCTGTGCGGGTGAGATACTCTTGGTAGCTTGCCGGGCTCTCCGAGAGGGGCGGAGGAATCGAACTAGGGTCGGCCGTGTTGGTCGCTTTCAAGACAAACACCCTAACAGCTGTGCTATCGCTCCAGCCCATAATGAATATAAATAAGAATATATCATTTCACAAATTTATGATGGAGCATTATACCATAACATCGTACTTTTTGAAATGTGCACAATAAAGTAGAAAAGGTAAATAATAAAGAGTAAATGGAACATATTTATTACAAGTTCCATTTTATATATCTTTAACATAACATATGGAATCAAATGCATAGAGAAGATATTAAATGAAAACTAAAATGCAAATAATTGTTATTCAGGGTGCTAAGACTACATGAAATTTTTACTTATTTTTATTTTCAATGTATATTGAATATAAAAACAATAACAAACTTTTAAAGTATTGTTTCTCATTCCTTAAGAAAGCTGAAAGCATAGAATTATCCATACAGTTATTCTGTAACGTGTATATACCTCTAAAAAAAGAAGCAGTTTTTGAAAAATTTTTTATCAGTTCATTATTGATTTTCAATTTTGTGGGAGTTTAGTTTGCTGTTTTCATCTATGTGTGTTTAAGTATTGCCACCTCTGTATCTCTCTCATATGTGCAATATAAAGAAATATAGTAAGGGAACAACAAAATGGTGAAGGTATCAGAACAGAATTTTATTTCTACAGAACTGAACTTACTTAGGGGGTACAGGTTAATGGATAGGCACATTAGTGGAAGAAAGTTGGGAGCTTTGGTGAATGATGTATGCATGAAAAGTATTATGTCAGTATTGTAAATTATGGTACCTCAAAAATGTTTTTAAAACATAGGGCAGAGAGATAGTACAGTGGGCAAGATACTTTTCTTACATTCAGCCAACTTGAGTTTGATCCTTGGCAATGCATATTGTCACTCTGAGTCCCACCAGAAATGATCGCTGAGCACAGACCAAAAGTAAGGTACAGCCTGGTATGGTACAAATTACTCCACCCCGCACCAGAAAAAAATGAAAAAAAGAGAGCGCTAATGAGCTCAATACTAATTGTTACAGAATAAACAAAGAACTTGTTTTAATTACAGGTCTTTTGCAGCAACTATGAGAAACTAACTGCGGATGGAAAATCCTGTCCCAAGATCCACAAACCCATGTGTGGTACTGATGGACAAACTTACAAGAATCCTTGTGAATTCTGCAAAATTGCAAAGTAAGCACATGGAAACAGCTCGAAACAGCACCTTATTTGAACTAGTTGAATACAATAGCACTGCACTATCTTCCCCTTATTCATAGATTTGCTTGAGCGGGCACCAGCAACGTCTCCATTGTGAGACTTCTTGTTACTGTGTGTGGCATATTGAATATGCCATGGGGAGCTTGCTAGGCTCTGCCATGCGGGTGAGATACTTGGTAGCTTTCCGGGCTCTCTGATAGGGGCAGAGGAATCGAACCAGGTCAGTGGTGTGCAAGGCAAACGCCCTGCCGGCTGTGCTATTGCTCCAGCCTGTTGAATACAATAAGTTAAGGAAATGAGTTACTAAGTCATTACTATACTAACCATTTCCAATATAATTCTTACTTAAAGCATTGTACTGTAACAATGTCCTTCAGTTGTTCATCAATTTCCTAGAGTGGGCATCATTAACATCTTCATCGTAAGACTTGTTGTGACTGTTTTTGGCATATCGAATACGCCATGGGAACTTGCCAGCCTCTGCCATGCAGGCGGGATACTCTCAGTAGCTTGCCAGGCTTTCCGAGAGGGATGGAGGAATCAAACCCAGGTTGGCCATGTGCAAGGCAAATGCCCTACCCTCTGGGCCAATGCTCCAGCCAATTTAAAGCATTATCTAGAAAATTCTTACTTAAACCATTGTTCCCAAACTGAGACCTAGACTATACATATACCTTCTCCCACTTCATACTTTTAACCACTGCCTGAATCCCCTCTCTCTTCATTTCAGGGAACAGAAAGGGAAACTTGGTTTCAAACATGGTGGAAAATGTTGATGTCTTCAATAAAGCAAAGTAGAAGTATCTTCAATTTATCTGTTGCATCAGATTTATTCTTGAAATAAAGCTTCTGTTGAATGTATTTATCACCAGTTCATTGTGCATGAAGGAAATTACTTTCAATAAAGTTAACTAGACTTTTTTTATTGTTGATATTGTTTTCAATGGAGCACCCTTGTTTGATTTGGTTAGATCAACTGCTATCTATTTTTCCAAATTGTACAATTTGAAAGCAAACACAAGGCACACAGAAAGAATCATTACACTTGATATTCAGAATTTTCCTATCAATGATCTGAATCTAAGTTCTTCAGGATTTATACAAATTTTCTATTTGAGGAGTATCATGAAAAAGTTTGAGAGTACAGATTTAATATCAGGAAGAGCCAGAGAGTTAGTACAGTGGGTAAAGCATTTGCCTTGAATGCTGCCACCCCAGTTTGATCCCTGGCATTCTTTATGGTCCCTGAGTTCATCAGAAATGATTCCTGAGTGCAGAGTCAGGAAAAACCCATAAGTATATCCAGGTGTGAGCCCTCACCAAAATGCACTGTAGCACTGTCATCCCATTGTTCATCGATTTGTTCGAGTGGGCACCAACACTGTATCCATTGTGAGACTTGTTGTTACTGTGTTTGTAACATCGAATACGTCACAGATAGCTTTCCAGACTTTGCCATGTGGGCAAGATACTCTCAGTAGCATGATGCGTACTCCAAGAGGGGCGGAGGAATCGAACTCGGGTCGATGGGATCAACATCGTGCAAAGCAAACGTGCCACAAGGGGTAGGGTGTTTGCCTTGCACGTGGTCAACCTAGGTTCTATTCCCAGCATCCTATTTCACAATAGAGTCTATTTAACCCACACATGGAAAATACCACCTCAACAGGTAATCAAAGACGGGAGTGTGCACTGAAGGGAATGGATGATCGCAGGAGTGTGTATTCACAGGTGTGTTCTCACAGGACTGCGTGCTTATGGGAGTGTGTACTCACGGAAATGTACGGGAGTGTATGCTCAGGGGAATGTGTGCTCAAAGGAGTGTGTACTCACAGGAATGTGTGCTCACGGGAATGTATGGGAGTGTGTGTTCACGGGAGTGTGTACTCACTGCAGTGTCAGCTCCCGGGAGTGTGTACTCATGGGAGTGTTTGCTCCCGGGAGTGTGTATTCACGAATGTGTGCTCATGGGAGTGTGTACTCACAGGAGAGTGTGCTCACGGGAGTGTGTATTCACAGGAGTGTGTGCAACGGAAGTGTGTGCAAACAGGAGTGTGCACTCACGGGAGTGTGTGCCATGGGAGTGTGTACTCATGGTACTGTGCGCTCACAGGAAAGCACAGGAGTGTTTGCTCATGGAAGTGTGTGCTCATAGTCTATTTAATCCATCACATGCAAAATACTACCTCAACAGGTAATCAATAATGGGAGTTTGCACACAAAAGAGTCTGTGCTCATGAGAATGGATGGTAGTGTTTGCTCATGGGAGTGTGTGTTCACAGGAGTGTGTATTCACGGGAATGTGTGCTCTAGTGAGTGTGTGCTCACGGGAATGTTTGGTAGTGTGTGCTCAAGGGAGTGTTTGCTTATGGGAGTGTGTACTCACGGGAGTGTGTGCTAACGGGGTGTTTCACAATATTATTTCACAATAGAGTCTACTTAATCCAACACATGCAAAATACCACCTCAACAGGTAATCAACAACGGGAGTGTATACTCACGGGAGTGTGTGCCCAAGGGAGTGTGTACTCAAGGGAGTGTATGCTCATGGGAGTGTTTCTCAATATTATTTCACAATAGAGTCTATTTAATCCAACACATGCAAAATACCACCTCAAAAGGTAATCAACAACGGGAGTGTGTACTCACAGGAGTGTTTGCTAACGGGAATGTGTACTCATGGGAGTGTGTACTCATGGGAGTGTGTGCTCACGGGAGTGTGTTCTCATGAGAGTGTGTGCTCACGGGAGTGTGTGCTCACAAAAGTTTGTGCTCATGGGTGTGTGCGGGGATACCCGCCAGACCATTCTCCCACTCTCCAGCCAGCGGAGATGGCCCTAGGATCCGTAGGTGCAAGGAGGGACCAACCGAATGAACACAAGACACAAGAGACAGAATGCAGTTGAGAAACAGAGAGAAAAAGGGACAGACTTTATTGGGGGCAATCAGGGTATATATCCATTAGTAAAGCAGCTACACGAAAGGTCGTGCCCATATATGTTCAGGAAGGTTTGCTTTCACATATCATGCATTACAAGGTTTATGTGTATCTCGTACCAGACACGAGGTGATTACACAAAGGGCCATGTCCATATGATTTACCAGACATGAGGTAGATACACAAAGGGCCATGTCCATATGATATATAAAATATATATGTATCACATACCAGACACCAGGTAGTTACTTCTTGTTATTACTGACAGCCATGACAGATGTTCTCTCAGAATAACCATACATCAAGATAACCATACATAGCACTGGCTTTGCCTGCCGTGGGGTCACGTAGGTCAAGATGACCATACACAGCACAGGCATGTAGGTCCTTGGTCAGTTAAAGGGCCAGCTTCCCACAGATGTGTTTACTCACCGGAATGTACACTCATGGGAGTGTGTGCTCATGGGAATGTTTCAAATATTATTTCACAATATAATCTATTTAATCCAACACATTCAAAATACCACCTCAACTGGTAATCACCAATGGGAGGATGCATTCAAGGGAGTGTCTGCTAACAGGAGTCTGTACCTACGGAAGTGTGTGCTCACAGGAGTGTGTACTCACGAAAGTGTGTGCTCACAGAAGTGTGTGTTCACTGGAGAGCATACTCAAGGAAGTTTGTGCTCTGGAGAGTTGTGCTCAGAGGAATTTACGGGAGTGTGTACTCATGGGAGTGTGTGCTCATGGGACTGAGTGCTTACGGGAGTGTGTGCTCACGGGAGTGTGTACTCATGGAGTGCATGCACAAGGGAGTCTGTGCTCACGAGAGTGCGTGCTGATGGGAGTGCGTACTTATGGGAGTGTGGGCTCACTGGAGTGCATGCTCACAGGAGTGTTTGGTCATGGGAGTGTGCACTCAAGGGAGTGCCTGCTCACGGGAGTGTATACTCATGGGAGAGCGTGCTCACAGGAGTGTGTGCTAACCGGAATGCGTACTCATGGTTGTGTGTGCTCACGGGAGTGTGTACTCTCAGAAGTGCATGCTCGAGGGAGTGTGTGCTCACAGTAGTGGGTACTCACGGGGGTGTGTGCTCATGGGTATATACGGGAGTGTGTGTTCATGGGAGTGTGTGCTCATGGGACTGCGTACTTACGGGAGTCTTTGCTCATGGGAGTGTGTACACACAGGACTGCATGCTCACGAGAGTCTGTGCTCACAGGAGTGTGAACTCATGAGAGCGTGTTTTCATGGGAGTGTGTGCTCATGGGAGTGAGTACTCACTGGAGTGCCTGCTCACGGGAGTGTGTACACACAGGACTGCATGCTCACAGGACTCTGCTCTGGAGAGTGTGTGCTCAAGGGAGTGCGTACTCACGGGTATGCGTGCTCACGGGAGAATGTACTCATGGAAGTGCATGCTCACGGGAATGTGTACTCACAGGAGTGTGTACTCACGGGTGTGCCTGCTCACAGGATTAAATATTCATGGGAGTGTGTACTTACGGGAGTGCATGCCCATGGGAGTGTGTACTCACGGGTGTGCCTGCTCAAGGGAATGTGCACTCACAGGAGTGCATGCTCATGATAGTATGCGACAAGAGTGCATACTCACGAGAGTACCTGCTCTAGGAGTGCATACTCATGGGAGTGCGTGCTCACGGGAGTGTGTACTCATGGGAGTGCGTGCTCATGGAGTGTGTACTCACAGGAGTGCATGCTCATGGGAGTCTATGCTCACGGAGTGTGTGCTCACAGGAGTGCATACTAACGGGAGTGTGTACTCACAGGAGTGCCCACCACAGGAATGTGTACTCACGGGAGTGCTTGATCACAGAGTGCCTGCTCACAGGAGTGCGTATTCACAGGAGTGCATGCTCAAGGGAGACTGTGCTCACGGGAATGGGTATTCACGGGAGTGTATATTCACAGGATTGTGTACTAACGCGAGTATGTACTCATGGGTATGTATGCTGACGAAATTATGTCCTCACGGGAGTGTGTATTCACGGGAATGTGTGTTCACTGAAGTGCGTCCTCAAGGGAGTGTGTGCTTTCGGGAGTGTGACTCAAGGGAGTGTTTTTTCAGAGAAATATACGGGAGTGTGTGCTCATGGGAGTGTGTGCTCACAGGACTGCGTACTTACGGGAGTGTTTGCTCACGGGACTGTGTACTCATGGGAGTGCGTGCTCACAAGAGTCTACTCTCACTGTATTGTGTGTTCTCCAGAGTGTGTACTTATGGAAGTTCTAGCACAAGGGAGTGTGTATTCACGGGATCGCGTGCTCACGGGAATGTGTGCTCATGGTATTATACGGAAGTGTGTGCTCACGGGAGTGTGTGTTCACAGGACTGCATACTTATGGGAGTGTGTATTCATGATAGTCTGTACTCACGGAAGTTCTGCTCATGGGAGTGCGTGCTCACGGGACTCTGTGCTCACGAGAGTGCTTGCTCACAGGAGTGCGTACCCATGGGAGTGCATGTTCACGAGAGTTTGTACTCAGGGTTGTGTGTGCTCAGGGGAGTGTGTACTCACGGAAGTGCATGCTCACAGGAGTGTGTGCTCATCAGAGTGCATGCTCACGAGAGTCTCTGCTCATGGGACTGTGTACTCATGGGAGTGCCTGCTCACGGGAGCTATGCTCACCGGAGTGTGTGCTCACTGGAATGCGTGCTCACAGTTGTGTGTTCTAATGGGAGTGTGTACTCACAGGAGTGTGTGCACATGGGAGTCTGTGCTCACGAGAGTGCATACTCAGGGGAGTGCATACTCACAGCAGTGCCTGCTCACGGGAATGTGTACTCATGGGAATGCATGCCCACAGGAGTGTGT